ACTACTGTCTGTCATCCCCTATCACCTCCCATTCTTCTGTACCTTTTAAGAAATGCCTATCAATCTGCTATTGTCTGCTGACAGTTTCCTGCTCCTCCTCAGCAGTGAGATGGCTGCCCAGTAGATCAGTCAATGACTGCCTCATAATTGCCTTGCTAGTGACTGTGTTCAGTTCTGAATACGTTTCAAATTCTTAGTCTCCTTAGAAAACCCAGTCCACCCTCAAGTGAAAAAATCACTATCAATTCTCTGAAATACCCTGAAAGGCATGAAAACACTCCTTGCAGTTCTGAGGTCACCACAAGTTGTCTGCTTTATCAAAACACATTTATGGCCATACCTGCCCTCTCAGACTGATGAAAACCTGAAGCTTCAAATGTTGTAAAATTCCTTCTGATGCTTCCATTGGCCAAAAGGCCACAACAGATTCTGCACTGTCCAAATTCTCTCTTGTCCTCTCTGAGCAAAGGCCTTGGGCAGTAAAGAGGACAGGGTGAGGAGCCATGACCAAGGCAATCCTTTCTCTGAATGATTTGAGAACATGCTTAGATACTGGTCTCTCTTGTAAGCCTGAAAACATCCAGCATAAGTCTTGCACTAGAAGAAAAATCCCAGGGCGCCAACCAGCTGGAAAGAAGCCCTGCAGAGAAGCAACTGAGAATTCCTGGTCAACACCAAGCTGAACGTGAGCCAGCAACACACACTTGTGGCAAAGAAGGCCAATGCCATCCTGGACTGCACTGGAAAAGCGTCACCAGCAGATTGAAAGTGATGATCTTTGCTTTCTGCCACATCTGGATGATAAATCTACTTCTGGGCTCCTCAATATAAGACATGCTGGACCCAGTGCAAGAAGCCATAAATACAGACAAGGGACAGAAGCACATCACATGAGGAAATGCTGAGAGAGTGGGGCTGTCCAGCCTCAGGAAAGAAGACCCAGAAGTATTTTTACACATGTAAATGCCCAGTGGGGAGGACTAAAGCAGACAGAGCCAAACTCTTCCCAGACTTGCCCAGTGACTGGACTAGAAGCAACAGACACAAACTGAAACAGTTCCGTCTGAATTATTACTGTGCAGCTAGCTGAGCACTAGAGAAGACTGTCCAGAGAGATTGTGGAGTCTCCATTCTTGGAGATACTCCAAAGCCACCTGCACTTGGTCCTGGGCTACCTGCTGCAGGTGGCCCTGCTCTTGGTAGGGGGTTGTACCAGACAATCTCCAGAAGTAAAATAGTTTCATCGTGGTTTTGTAAACTTGAGTGTCAGGATCAGAGCTGGCACTGCCAGGAAGAGGTGCAAGGTAATATTTGAACAGTCTTTCTAGGTGATTTGACGCTTAAAATACCCATGCACACAGTAAGCAACCTGCACTCTGCTCCCTACACCACCATAGGGTCTGAAACATCGTGGTTCCAAACTGCTTTAAGTACAAAGGAAGAAATAAAGGCTCTCAAGCAGAAGCCTCCATTCCTCCTGCTCCACTGCAGAGAAAGTGAGATTCATGCAGCCATGGTAAGAATAAATAAGAGCGAGGCTGAATCAGGTATTGTTTATCTATTTCATCCTTTAATTCCTTGGTGCTAAATGCACAACCAGTTCCCAGAACTCTCAATTCCTCCATTGTTTCTCAGTGGAATTAAAGATAGGCTTTCGACCTTTCAATCTAAAGATAAGATAAAGCCAGACTTCCTCAAGATGGCCCCTTCACTCTCACTTTTATTTCTGGAAAGTGGCCCAGTTTCAACAGAAAGGAGGAAGAATGATCCTACCTCTTCCTTCCCTGCTGTTTATGGAAGCACAGTTCTTACCAGGGACTTACAGCATGCAGGCTAAGAAGGTGCTGGAACCATACCTCCTCCTGCTGCCCATAGGTGCTATACAAAATGAGGATGGCAGCAGCTGCCCCTTTGAGCAGTATTCCGTGTTTTCTAATCATGTTAGGTGTGGTCCAAGTTCTAGAAAGGGAGAAGGAAAGACACTGTCTCCAGAAAACTGGTTGAGAGCACAAGCCTCCTGGTCATTGCTTAATCTTCAGTTACACAGTAGTGAAGGCTGGAAGCTTCCAGGTGCCCCAAGGAAATGATAGAGAAGTCACTTTGCAAACCCTGAAACAGATATTCTCATCAACTGCAAATGACCAGGATTTGGCAGCCCTGAAAGATGAGCAGCTGCAATATCCCAGTTGATTCTAGAGATCTGAGTTTTATTAAAATTATGCTTGTGAGCCAACTAGGTGGTCAAAATAGGGTGTTAGAATGAATTTTTCCCTGATTATTAACTGCCATGAAAAATCCTGAGATAACTTTTAAGATGGGAAGGTTTCAAGTATGTGCTACCCCTCTACTGAAGCTACTCAATTAGAGTTACAAAACTACAAAGCACCTCCTGTGTCTTAGTTAACTTTCCTACTACTGCCACTATCTCAGCCAACAATCTCACAGCCTCCTTATGTCCCATCAGAACCTTAGCAAGAGCTTTTATCCCCCTTAAGTTTGCTCCAGCAAATGAATGCCATGGTAACAAGGAACCACCTCCTAATTATTGGCCAAAATTTGAACAGAACTGCAACTCAACGAGCTGTGTTCTCAGCTGCCACTTTCCACTTAGTACTTGCCTAACCCAATGAGATAAGGCACACAACTACATATAAGCAAACTTTATCGTAATACACACATATATATAATTCTGTGATTTCTCTGTGATTGATGTTTGCTGTACATAACTGTGTTTTTTTCAGCTCAAGGCACCTTATACCCACAAGCAAAATAGTTCTCTCAGGCTATCTAGTGTTTAAATATACACTCTAAATTTTCAAACTATTTTTTCTTTCAATTTTACACACACACACTTTTGCAAATGACGGTTGGTTTTGCTCTTCAGTCTCATTGAAAATATACCCTTTCATGCTTCTTCACAATTTTTTAGTCATATCAGTCACCTGTTGGGCAATATCTGGACTTCAGGCTACGCATCAGCCACTCAACATGAAACTCTTCCCTTCAAGCTACAGGAGTACCTACCAAGTAAAAAAGGAAAAAATGCCTCCAATGTGAATTAGTCTGCAGAGGAGGCCATGTTACTACTGTTCTATGCAAACATTTATTCATACAAGAACAGCAAAAGCTTGGGTGTCTAAGGCCAAGTACTATTAAAAGAAATAATAAAGACTATAGTCTTCAGAGATATGCACAAAATCTAGCAAAGTCAGTGTGAAACAGGCAAACAAGAGTAGATGAGAGTTGAGCATAGCATGGTAAAGCCCCATGTACCCAACAGACTGCTCTCCATGCAGTTTTCAAAGGTGTGGCAAATAGGAAAGTGCTGTTCTCCCAGCCACAGAGAAACAAAATACAAAGCTCTGAAGCTCCAAGATGAGATAGAGGACCTACTTCCTACTCCCAGGCTGCGAGACTGCACTGAAGAGGTTTCAGTTTCTACTTAGTGCCTGGCAAGCGTCAATATCTTTATGCAGATTTGAGTCTTCAGTGCCATGCAATAGACCGGGACCAGAGTTCATTGAATGAAGGCATGGATATGGTCTCAGGAATACCTGGTGACACTGTCCCTGTTACAGAAGGAATGCAGAAATTGCCTTTGAATGCGAAGGCAAGTTCAAGGCAATCAGTTAATGGCAAAGTGTTCCTCAAGCCAAGGAACAACTGTTCGTAAAACATGCAAAAGCAAGAACCTTCACAAAAGCCCAAATTCCTCAACACATTACTCCATTGTATTCAACAAGTCATAGGACAGCAAAGTGCTCCCCTTCCACAAACACCACCCACAGCAGTATGAAATCCGGTATCAGAAGGGTGCAGGGAAGACAAGGTCCCTGCCACTGACCAGGTGTGCCTAGGAAAAAAAAAGTCACTCTGGCCAGTATAAGATGTACACCTTTATCCTAGGGGGGTGACAAGCTCTGTTAGCCCCACACAGCTGAAGGAAACTCAGCAGACCAACAAACTGACAGACAGGCAAGTTCCTGGAAAGCAGCGAGCAGGTGGTCTCAGACGGAAGGACGCATGTAATGCTCCAGTGCAGGCAGTGAGAAGAGCTCAGTGTCCATAGTCCTGCGCCTGCAAGAGCGCCCTGCTCGCGGCTGGCACGCTGCAGTACGTGCTGATGTCAGCATGAACTGGCAGAGAGGGTTTACAAGGAGGCTTTTAGCTCAGAGTCACAAACAGGGATCAGGAAGACAGAGAGGTACAGACCTGAAGGAGAGGGACACAGCCTCTTTACTGATGACCCTAACTGCTTCCACTTCTCCTGAAATCCATATAGTCCACTCACACAAGCACTTCAAATTCCCCTGGATCCACAATGTTGTCACCAATTTTATGTGAATAATATAGTCATTTAACCAATATTTCTTCCTTTTGTTTTCTGCTATGAGGAGTGCTGGAAAGGAAAATTACAAGTACTGTTTTAGAAACTTTCATTGCTATCAGGACATCCAGAACAGGAGAGAAATGCTGCACCCTTTTTAGCCCTTATGATTCATGAGACAGCACATATCCGGCCTCTGATCAGCCCAGGATTGAAGGTAGCCTAGTTTGCAGCACTGATTCTCAGCTTCACTTTCAGGGAAAATTACAGATTTGCATGTGGGTGTTACAGATGGAAACATTTCTCCACCAGGTGGTTTTAATGAAAACTGGTGGCAGTTTTGTTGAGACATTTGGATAATCAGAAAATCTTTTAACAAAGATAATAGGAAGGGGTGGTGATGATATTTGACTTTTACAATATAGCTGTGTCATCTGATAGCACCACTGTATATTTGTAACAACTCATTATAAAATTATGGAAGCAAATTCTTGTCAAAATTCCAGTCTTAAAAGAGTTACTCCATGGAAAGGTGTGTAAAACTCTTATGCCAAAAAGAAAGTGCTCAGCATACCGAAAAGGCAAATCATCTCAGAAAATCTAGTGGCTCTCTCTAAGAGTTGAATCATAACCCATAAAAATATATATATACTGTGACTTGATTTTTACAAACTAACAATACAGCTAAAGCGAGTACACAGGTCTGGTTTTCAATGTATTTTCCCTTAATTTCTGGCTCTTTAAATAAAGACAGAAATCTATTTAAAATCACAATTTCTCAGGCCAATGGAGAGTACAGACTGTTATTCTCATTATTTGAAAGAACTTTTGTAGGGAAATAAACTTTGAAATTTGGGCATTACAAACCTTTGAAGATAATGCAAAGTAATTTCTAGTTAAATTCACAAAGCACCATTTTTGTCCTCTTCTAAAAATTATATTTTAAGTGTCCTAACTTCATTTAGTGAAACTGCTGAAGATTCCCATAATCTCATAGGAAAGGAAATATCAGTCCAGAATTCAGAAACACAAATGCAAAAGAAAAAAAAAAAAAAAAAAAAAAAAAAAAAAAAAAAAAAAAAAAAGAAAAAGAAAGGGGGGAGGGAGAGAAAAAAAGAAGAAAATTTATTCTCCACTCAGTGTTAACAAGAATAGGCTGAGAAAATATCATCTCTACAAAAGGAAGTTCATTCTCACAGTGACTGTAAGATTTATAGCATTCTTCTACAACAATTCTCATCACAGAACCAGTAATCTTCACAGAATAAAAGCTGAATATTTGTAGAGAAGTAGCTGAGCTGCAGGACAAGGAACAGAAAGATACATGTAGTTTAGAGTCTTTGAGCTACTCCTTTATTTAATTTTTTTCTGATTAACAGAAACTGAGGAGGGATCCTTCACTCACGTTTCCCCACGGTGACTAACAGAATGCATTCCCACAGAACATTTCTCATTCCAATCACCCCACCTCCAAGGGTAGCCACACCCCAAGCACAATGAACTGCAACAGCAAACTGAACTCTTCGTCTTGAACTGAGATCCAAGCACCACAGTGCCGGACAGCTCCCAGCACTGGCAGCTGGGCCTCAGTACCCACCATCGCACGGATCTCTAGCAGCCCCTGTAAAAATTCAGAGTCAAGAAGGAATAGGAAGGGACAGGGACAACAACGTACTAAAACGCCGTCCCAGCTTCACCACGCACAGCGCACGGGGCGAAGCCGGGAGCCTGCGGGGCTTTGCTCCCAGCCGTGGGGACGCGCTGGCTCCTGCATGGCTCGAGAGGGTATTTCCGATGCAGCCTGAAGAAACACCCAGATCACGTCACACCTTCAGCGCATCCCTTCCGAGCACAGGTGCGCGCAAGCAGGCGGCAGTGAGGTAAGGATACACCTCCTGTGGCACGGAGGGTCTGCGTGGCGTCAGAGGCTCGCACTGTCACCTCTCCCACCACCTCCCGCCCGGAGCGAGCAGGCCTGACGGGCTGTCAGAAGAGGAGAAACCGTGACTCTCCTCCACAGGCCACGACTCCAATCTGTTTATTCTCATCACTCGCAGTAGGCGATTCAGCAACGTTACGTTTGAAGCCTCCGACTGACGGAGGAGGCTAAAAAATGTGATCACATGCGACGTTCGGCAGGGATGAGGGGGTGAGGGAAAAGGTTCAAAAGAGGCTGTGGGGATCTGGTTTCCAAACATGGCACCTACCCACACCCCGCGCTCCCCGCACCCCTCCCCGTGCCGCCGGCAGCGGGATAAACCCACTCCCCCGCCGTCCCGCCACCACGCACGCACGCCCGCCCGCTGGAATGAGCAGTGCGACTAATTCCATCTATTTCCTAATTACGAACGCCCTGCTGCCCCACAGTGCGGTGCTGCCCGTAGCTGCCCGCCCTGGAGCCGGCAGGCGGGCCGGGGCCGGGGCCGGGGCCGGCGGCACGGGCGGGCGGAGCGGGGGCCGGGGTGTGCCGGGCGGGGGCAGCCGCCCCAGCCCCGCGGCGGGCGGCAGCGGGGGCCGAGCCAGGCGGGGGCAGCACGGCAGCCGCGGAGGCTCCCGCACGGAGGGAAACCCCACCCAGCGGCCCCTCCTGGCAGAGGCGGGGTTTTGGGGACCCCAAAGGAATCCCACCTCGCCCCTCACCCCCGTGTCGGGGTTTCCGCCCGCCCTGTGCCGCCGGCTCCCTCGGGGCGGGGAGGGCCGCCGTCCCGCTCCGTCCCGCCGTGCCGGGCTCCCCCGGCGGTGCTGCCTCGGGAGGAGCTGCCCGGGGTGGGGGAGGAGGAAGTTACGGGCCGGGAGCGGAGCGGGACCGGGGCTCCGCGGCGCCAGCCCCGCCGAGCAGGGCGAAGCCGGCCGGCTCCGAGCACCGGCCACCTCCCGCTGTGGCAGCGCCCGCTCCGCCCGCCGGCGATCGGTGCATGAATGAGTGCCTGAATGAATGAATGACTAGCGTCTGCTTACTTGAGCATGGCCTCTTCTTTTTCTTCCTCCTCTTTCTGCCGGTCCATCACTGCCATGATGATGTTCCTCTCCTCCTCTGTCAGGTGGCTCAGGTCGGGCAGCTCCTGCATCGGGGGGGGCACCGTGGGCGGGCGAGGGCCGCGGGGCCCCACCGAAGAAGACATTTTCTTGCCGCCTCTCCCTTACACCTTCTACCTTTGCACGGCGAACCCAGCCAGCCTCTCCTCCGCCCCCTTCACAGGGTAGTCCTCCGAGCAGCGGCAGCCGGCAGCTCTCTGGCAGCAGCGGAGGAGGCGGAGACCCAGCCTTTCATGGTTGCTTGCATCCACCCCGGCCCGGTGCTGCCGCTGCTCGCTCCCTTTGTTTCCGCGGCTTCGGGGAGCTCAGGGGCTGCCGCGCCGCCGCCCGCAGCCCATCCTCCCGGCGGTGGGCGTGCGGGGCGGGGGTGCGGTGGCGCGGAGGGCTCCGGATCGCCGCCGGCGGGCTGCGTGCGGGAGCGGGGGGGCGGTGCGCGCCGCCGGCCGGCCGGGAAGGGCGGGTGCTGCCGCCGCCGCCGCGATGCTCCGCTGCTGCGAGCCTGGCGCTGGAGGAGGGAGCGAGGGAGGGAGGGGAGCTCGGTGCCGGTGAGGCGGAGTCCGAGGCGCGGCGCCGCTGCCTCTGCCCCTGCCCGCGCCGGGCACCCGGGCCGGCCGCGCCTCTCTCTCCCCGCCGCCCCCCGGGCTCGCCTGGCGGCCGCACGGCCACGGCGCTGGCTCCGGCACCGCCGCCCTCACGTCCTCCTCCAGCTTTCCTCACCGCAGGTGCTCGCCCGGGTTCCCGCCAGGGCTGCAGGGCCACTCGTGGGAGGCGGGTGCGGGTTTGCTGCGGGGCTGGCTGGGATGCTGGGAAGCCTTGGGCATCCAGTGCTGCCGGCGCACCCCCGGACGTGAGCCGTGCTGGCCCCCAGCTGCAGCCCTCTTGCCTTAAGCCAGCGCTGTCGCCGCTCGACCGTCCCTTCCTTAGAGTCCTACGCTTCAGCACTTTCTTCATACGCTTCTTAAACCCCGTTAGTGCCACCCATGTCATAGTCCACACACACCTCTCATGTGGGTGACAAGGGCTCTTATCGATCAGACCCATTTTTTAACTGCTGTGACCCACCAAAACTGTCAACGAAACATATCACAGTGCCGACTGTTCAACTTAGGTGTTAGTGCACAATGAAACAAAACGTCATGTCCAGACACGGATCGCTTCCCTGCCAGTTTCTGGTCTACTAGCTCTGAGTAACTTCATTTTGAGGGGCTGGTAATGAATGCAACAGCTTCTCTCTACAGGAGATCATCTGCATGTAATCCACTGGCCAAAAGCTCATGCCTCTAGCTCTGAAGTGTCCTCTGCTCACACATGTGCCTGTCAGTGAATGAAATCATTCAGGCTACTTAGAAATGCGAAGTTAAAATACAGAGAAAACTGCACTTTCAGGTAAAATGTGAGCTACTGCTAACAGACGCTGATACTTAAGACGTCTCAGTTATGCTTCTGCTGAGGTCACAGCATGGAAACAGCTCTGGTTTCCAGAGAGATCATCTGATGAGCACAAACCAAAGAGAAAAAAAATATATGCTGGCAGTGTTCAATGCTTCTTTCTGCCAAATTTGCCAGGTTTGGAATAGGGAGAGGGACCAGATTTCTCCCAGCCACACTAATACCTCTCACACAAATTCTGAAAGCCAGGAACCTTCATGACCCTTTGAACTTGAGAGGAATTACTGTGGCCATCTGCCTGTGTCCCCCCAAGAGATTTTCTGCAGGACACAATTTTGATAACACAAATTATAAAGAAAAAACATAATAAGCACTATGGTTACCACCAGAACTTTAGTAGGATAATGTCCGAGTTCAGTTCAGAAACTGAAGTCTCCCAACTTTTCCAGCACATGAAGAAAACAGAAACTTGAATGACCAACAGATGGCTCAGAAGAGATTACAGTGGTGTTAATAAGCACAACACCATGAAAGGCTGGTAAATATAATAATGTCACACTCAGTTTAAGACACAACCCCTCTACTAACTCGTGTGGTTATTTGTCCCAGGGCCTGGCCACATTATTACTGCTAGATGTAATCCTTCTAGCTAAGTACTGACAAATCAATAAAATCACTTCCCAGCATCTGTGACCAGCAGGGAAGATAGCCTTCATGTAACAGGCTGGTGCTGAAGAATTTATCCATTCATTAACAACAAGCAGCCACTTCAAGGAAGCAAAGGAAGCTTCCACTAAAGGAAGCAAGACTGAAAAAAATAAGATTACGAGAAGAAGGTGAAGTACCACCATATGTTTACCATCAGAAATAACTAAAACATGACTGGAATGGTACTACTAGATATGATGATCATGTTGTTAGAGGTATACATAGGTAGTCCATACTCAATCCTTCAGATAATTTGGGGGGATCCTGAATATGCCAAGTAAAGGATGTAGCTCAAGTAACTGCATTCACTAGAGCAAGTGTTCACGAATCACAACTTTAAGCACAAACTAACCAAAATATAAAAGGTCTAAGACCATAAGATGCAAGTGTCTCCAAGATAATTTTATGAAGAAAATATTACATTAGGCTATCCTACTCACCTTTCTGCTTATTAATTACTGACACAGTTATTTATATCTGTTCTGTATTTGTGTTAATTGCTTTATACTGGGTCAAGCACATGAAATCTTACTGCTCTGTGGAAAGTACAAAATGAACACAAAGAGTATAGGTTCTTATATACAGTTTCTTATAACTTAAAAGGGAAAGCTGAAAACTCTTGCAGAATACAGGTTTTGAAAGTTATGGGAGTTGGAGTGTAGATTTGCTCCAAGCCAATATTGTGACAAAAACTGTTTTGCTGAAAAGCACATAATCACAGAAACATTCAGACTGGAAAGCACCACTGGAGGACATCTGGTCCAGCCAACCTGGTCCAGATGGTCAAGCAGGGTCAGCTAGAGCAGGTTGCTAAAGACTTCATCCAGATGGCCTTGAATCTCTCCAAGGATGGGGACTCCACAGCCTCTCTGGGCTACCTGTGCCAGTGCTTAGTCATCTGCTTAGTAAAAAAGTGTTTTCTTGTGTTCAGACAAGACCCCCTGTATTTCAGTTTCTGCCCATTGCCACTTGCTCTGTCACTGGGCACTGCTGAAAAGAGCGTGGCTCAGTGTTGCTCACACCCTCCCATCCGATATTTACTCGCTTCTATAAGATACCTCTGAGCCTTCTGTTCTCTAGGCTAACTAGTTCCATCTCTCAGCCTTTTCTTATATGACATGCTCCAATTCCTAAACTATCTTCCTTGCCCTTCACTTGACTCGCTGTTCTATGTCCATATCTTTCTTGGGCCGGGGAGCAATAAACTAGAATTGTCACTCCAGATGTGTCTTTAACAGTGTTGAGCAGATGGGAAGGTTCACCTCTCTTAGGCTTTTGGCAATGTTTTTCCTTATGTCTAAAAAGTCCTAGACACAGCAAATTATTTTGCATTATTTTTGGCTCAAAGGCAGTAGAATTTATTAGAGAGAAATAAAGAAGAAACCATAAAAGTAATCTCATTTTTGATGGGTCTCCATGAAAAGATTGAGCTGTTATTGACAGTATTTCCAACTATAAGTGGTCATTTTCTGCTTTGAACACATTTATTTTGTAATGATGAAACATCTGACACTGCTGTCCAATCAACAGTGTGTGGGAAGCCCAGTGTAGTTCAATATATTATATCCCAAAGTTGGAATGATACATGAAAGCCTTCAAGAGAATTTCATTGCCTGGTTAGTATGAGTTACCCGTGCCTAGTAACATCCGAAGTCTTGTCACCTGCAGGCATTCTATTAGATCAATTTCTCTGAAGTCCTGTCTAGAGCAGACTGCTGTGAAATCTAGAAATGGAATATCAATATAGCTATTGTAACATATCATGTAAATGACTTTCCTACACTTGAACAGCCAATCATTATAATGCAATCCATGACCTTTTCTTCTCAGTACATAACAACAAATGTTCACTTGTTGTCTTGCATAGGGCATCATAACATATGCCCTTTGCATGACCAATGCATATTTCTTTATGATTCTAGACCTCCCCTCATCTTAGGAACCTTCCTTCTCCCCCATATCTTCCTTTTGTATTGACCAAATGCCACATTCTAAATTTCTCAGTTCCATCAATATTCCCTTTTCACCACCTGTAAGCAATCATGATTTTTTCCTTGCATGAGGCAAACTGAAAGAAGAAACAAACAATTCAGAGGGTTTTCCTGTAGGTTCCTTGTTTAGCAGAGTGGTGCTCTTTCTCAGACTGATGGAAGACTGGGGATGTGAAAGCTGTGGAGGAGTTTTCAGCTCAGTGGGTTTGCCATTTAAGGGACAGCCATGAAAGATGAAATATCCTGTAGCACCAAGGGCTCAAAGTATTTTCTCACAATATGTTAATGAAAGTGGAACACTGTGACTTCTCTCTCTCAAGAAGTTGAAGGATTTTAAAAATTTCAAAGACTAACCAAATCCAAAGGAAAATATATTTTATCAACATATCATAATTTTCAAGAGCAGGCATTTTTTTGGCATCTGACTCGTGACTTTTCATTTCTTTAAGGTTGGTGCCACCACAGTACTTTAAGAAAGAGAAAAGGGTCAGAGCTAGCTTTGGCATGAGAAGAAATGGAAACAGACCTTTCCACAGCAGAGAGAAAACACTGGCCCAAAGGGATTTCATTTCAGGTAGGAATTTCAGGACCTGTTCTCAACAAGATCGGGTATTGTGAATAATTTTATAAAGAGTGCCAATGTTCTGCAGCAATGAACATTTTAAAAATCATCTCAGGCATAAGCCTTGGGCTTCTTTTAAATATATATTATTTAAAACAAACAAAAACCCAAACAAACAAACAAGCAAAAAATGTCCCTGCCTCTAAATGACAAACAAGCAGTCCCATTGACAGCAAACCTTATGGAGCCTGCTTTTTGAAGACAGTTTTGGATTCTCTTGTCTCAAATAATGCAGCTGAGTTCACACTTCCACCTGTTCTTTACTGAGCACACAAATCTGGGTCTCCTCTATCTGGCTGCTGATTTTTGTAAAACTCACAGGAGTTCAGTGTTTTTAAGCTTCTCTTTTTTTGTCAGGCTTTTTTCAAATTGGTCA